AATAATTGTACCGCAATCACTGTTCCCCTGTGTGAACAGAAGCCTTATCCAATGTGAATTCTGTGAAGGGAAAACAGCTATCCAGGGCCCGGTTGTTCATAGGCCGATTAGCGCTTAACCTGGGGTTAAATTTAACCCAGGTTTCTTTTTCTTGTGTTCAAAAGCATTTTCTCGGATCATTTCTCTGTTATTTTTAGAGCTTCCAATCATCAACTTGTAGACCAAAAGAATTAAGACTGAACTGCGTTTTAAGCTTTCAAATCTTAATTCAAATGTCGCAATAACTCTGGGTTATCTTAACCCAGCTTTGAACAATTCGGCCCAGTGTACTATAAGCATAGCCCTATTCTTCAACAAGTTGTTAAGTTTTATCCTCGATCACCTAGTACGTGAAAACACAAGACAATGCTGGCCAGCAGTCTCTGTGGCTAATCATATATGGTGCAGGCTTAGGGCTTTTTTAGGGCCCCAGTACATTCACAGCACTGCTTTGGAGGTCAAGTCATTTCACATGCATTGTCTTTGCTTGTGCTTGTGTCAAAGCCTTTTACTCCTAGCCCTTCCCCCCCCCCCCCTCTGGGTGGGACTCTTGGTAAGTATCTGAAAATTTTCCACTGAGGTTTTCAGTGTCACGGTGCCTGGTGGTTGCCGCTAACAGGGTAAATCAGGGAACTTGGTTGGGAATTCCCTGGTTGGGACTTGTCTCACTTTGCCAAATTTGGGATTTTTATGGGTATTCTTTAAATACCCTAAAATATCCAAAAATGGGAATCCGTTATTTTTTCCTGTGTATTTTTTGGCACTCTAACATAATTTACTTACTGGAGGAACTAATTCCAGCTGTCTTTCCTTTGCCTCCCTCAACAGCTGTTCTGCTGTGATCTGAACTGGGGCCGGTGCCTTGTTCTTAACCTTGATAGAAACAATACAAAAGATAAATAAAAAATTGATCATAAGTGATGACGACTAGTCTGGAAGAGTAGTATTAACTAATACAAAATCCAACATTGGGAACGATCAGAGGTCTTACTCCGCGATCAGTGTCAAAAGTATAAGCTTACGAAATTATAGTTTAGCTTAAACTTATATGTAGTACTACATGTGCAATTATTAGGCTAATAGCTCATCAGACTTTCGAATTTTAATTAAACTCAAAAGTTTACATTTTAAAATTTCTTCATCCAGTAAAATCCAGCAAGCTTAACTAATCAGTAAAGTAAAATAAAAGAACATATGTTCTTAAATCCCTCGTGCACAAAATCTACACCTTTGAAAAAGAAATCGTCCTTTTTTACGTCGCGTAAGAATCAGAAAGTTTACCAACCTTTGCCACTTTTGGGATCCTAGCCTTATTTGTACTCTGTTCAGAAGACGCCATGATCTTTCTTGCTCACTGATTCAGTGAGAATAATTGGCAAAAAACGTTTTACGCTTGTTCAAAATTTTTGCTTCCCCTCATCCGACATTTTGGAAACGTTTTAGTACCCAGTCTATTTCTTCTTGTTTGTAAAATTGTCACGCAAATTAGGTGTTGTGTGACAAAACCATGATGGAGACTGAGGCCGAGGACTGCTCGATCGAAGGCCTCGCGGTCCGATGGCGGCAATCGAGTGTTTATTTCGCGGCATTCTCCCTCACAGTAGAAAGGTCCGTGTTAAATGTTGTCGGGTTGCAAGTTCTTTCATTCGACAACAGCACACGAGACCTTCGGAGGACGACGGACCCGGTGAGGTGAGTATTTTTCACACATAATTTTCTTATGTAATTTTGATTTTGATGTCGTAATATTGCTGTGATCTACAGAAACTCTGATCTCACAATTGAACAAATGGCATTTGGAACCTTTACACTTGCGCTGTGGCTATATGGCCGGTAACCGGTCAAGGTTTTCAAAACACTAAATGGCTGGCAGTCCTATGTTATCAGTAAATTTCACAAAATCGAAAGATTCTAGCTAATCTAAACTATCATATAAGCGATCCTGAAATGCTTTATAGATAGATAGAGAGATAGATAGATAGATAGAAACTTAATTAAGGTGTCAAAAGCCGTCTAGCCAGGGAAAAAAGATTCCCTTACTAATTTGGGGACACCAAGTCTAGTGTTTGGTTTACGCTGGGCTCAGAAGACGAAACCGTGTTTTGTGACACTCGACTGCTGGTCAAGGTTTTCAAAGCACTAAATGGCCGACAGTCCCATATTCTCAGTAAATTTCACAAATCAAAGACATTCAGCCGTTCTGAACTATCATAAGTCGTGATCCTGATCATAGTCTCTACGCGTTATTTCCCTTCTGGAGCTGAAATACACTTCAACATGATCTTGTCGACGCTATGATGAAACAAGCTCAGCTCCAGAAGGGAACTAACGCGTAGAGACTTTTCCCGCCGATTTTCCGCGGAGGCCGCATGAAAGGTTGCATGAAAGGTCAAGATGTTATGACGTCAAACGTCGCCTGTCACGCCATGCTTTGGACAGAAAATAGTAATGAACATCCAAAGACTCAAGACCAACAAAAGCATGATATAGAAATCCCACAAAAATGGCTGGTTTGATCAGGATAACAACTTATGATAGTTTAGAACGGCTGAATTTTTTCGATTTGTGAAATTTACTGAGGATATGGGACTGCCGGCCATTTAGTGTTTTGAAAACCTTGACCGGCTGTCGAGCTGAAAAAAGTTCTAAGTGTCACAAAACACAGTTTCGTCTTCTGACCCCAGCGTAAACCAAACACTAGACTTGAGATCTATAAAGCATTTCAGGATCGCTTGACTTGTCTTAATCGACATATGATAGTTTAGATTAGCTAGAATCTTTCGATTTTGTGAAATTTACAGAATATGGGACTGCCGGTCATTTAGTGTTTTTAACACCTTGACCGGTTACCAGCCATATAGCCACAGCGTTACACTTGTTATACTAAAGATAACTGAAATAGTTAGTCTTGGCATAACTACAGCTTTTTAGTTGCTCCATAGATAGTCTGTTCTATTTCCTGTGGTGTTAATCCCTGTTGTTTAAAATGATAATTTAATTTACTCATAATTTACTCAACTGAAACCTTTTGGTGGGGGTAATTAACACATGAAGTAATTTGTGTCTCAATATACTTTATAGTAAAATTGTGATTTCCTTAGACTGTTAGTAGTCCCCGGCCTTTTCAATCAGCCAAGTGGAGGCAGGGCCATGCTGGACAGAGCAATTTAGTCGGAGGCTCAGTAAGACTGCAGAAATTCCTGTTGGACTGCTCACAGTCCTAAAAGTGTAATTTACTGTTCAGATTTAGTTTTCTAATGAACAGTAATAGATGTGCCAGCTTGTTGAACTATGTCACACCATACTACATAGTTTTTCAAGTCAACATTAAAATTTGCTATCCAGTTGACACCTGTTCTACTGTTTCAAAGAGTGGCTTAGAAAATTGCTCATGCAATATGTGATGATCCACTTTCAAGATTGGCGTGGGGCAGCCTCCCTTTGTTACAGAAATAATTGTACCGCAATCACTGTTCCCCTGTGTGAACAGAAGCCTTATCCAATGTGAATTCTGTGAAGGGAAAACAGCTATCCAGGGCCCGGTTGTTCATAGGCCGATTAGCGCTTAACCTGGGGTTAAATTTAACCCAGGTTTCTTTTTCTTGTGTTCAAAAGCATTTTCTCGGATCATTTCTCTGTTATTTTTAGAGCTTCCAATCATCAACTTGTAGACCAAAAGAATTAAGACTGAACTGCGTTTTAAGCTTTCAAATCTTAATTCAAATGTCGCAATAACTCTGGGTTATCTTAACCCAGCTTTGAACAATTCGGCCCAGTGTACTATAAGCATAGCCCTATTCTTCAACAAGTTGTTAAGTTTTATCCTCGATCACCTAGTACGTGAAAACACAAGACAATGCTGGCCAGCAGTCTCTGTGGCTAATCATATATGGTGCAGGCTTAGGGCTTTTTTAGGGCCCCAGTACATTCACAGCACTGCTTTGGAGGTCAAGTCATTTCACATGCATTGTCTTTGCTTGTGCTTGTGTCAAAGCCTTTTTCTCCTAGCCCTCCCCCCCCCCCCCCTCTGGGTGGGACTCTTGGTAAGTATCTGAAAATTTTCCACTGAGGTTTTCAGTGTCACGGTGCCTGGTGGTTGCCGCTAACAGGGTTGTCATGGTTACCTTCACGCTCGCTTGCAGCTCCCTCAGTTTATTCAGGCACCTTCCCCACACCCATCTATTGGGGATTGGTTTAATACATAATGCCTTTTGTTTCTGACATATTTATTGAAAATGCATTCAACTTCCATAATTCAATCATTGAGAGTCAATTAGTTTAAACGTTCCTGTGAACCTTAGCTTACAAAAGTGCCTTTCACTGTAATTTGCTATTATTGTCAGAGTGAATTTTGTCAAAATGATATCAGAAAAGTGATAGCACTGAGTCTTTGGTATTCTCTTTTACTTCCTTTCAGGTGCATCTGTCAAGAACTAAGAAGTATTTTAAAGAAGAAGAACTGAGACCATTTTCAGACTTTCTCACTGACAAATTTGGAAGGCAGCACACATATCTTAGGATTTCACTAACAGAACGATGCAATTTAAGATGTAAGTATTACTTCTTGAAAATATACTGTATTGCTATTCACTGTGTAAATTATAAAGTAAACATAAAGTTGCATTGGAAAAGCTGCATAGTTTGTTTTAAAATTTTAAATCAGAAGCTCATTTGCGTGCTGTGCTGAGAATTGTCCATTAATATCCTTCCACATTTTGAGCAATTTATTCTTCTAAAGTCTGGGGTACAGTTGATCTATTAGTGTGGCTTATTCTAGGTTACCTCAGAGGCTCCTGATCTGATGGCAAATATTAATTCTTCCTTTGTTTTTTCCACACATACAAGGCAAATGGAGGGAGAATATAGATGACTATCAGCAGTGACCTTAAGCTTTATTACATTTGTTCCAGGCAATTTCTCAATTAACCTAATAATAATTTCTTTCCTTAGGTCAGTACTGTATGCCAGAAGATGGTGTTAACCTGACACCAAATGATGAACTCTTAAAAACCGATGAAATTATTGCTTTAGCTAGACTTTTTGTTAAAGAAGGAGTAGACAAAATTAGGCTCACTGGCGGTGAGCCATTAGTAAGAAAGGACATCGTGGAACTATGTGGTAAGAAATTATAAAATAGTATTGTTTTGCTATGTAAGTGATTGCCAAATTTCCAGTTCCAGTGGCCTAAGAAAACCAGGGCTGTGGCAAGCCTTTAGAAACTGAGGGAGCAAAAAGATTTTACGTAGTTCATTGTATTTGAAAAGCAGAAGGTTTTGGGTCTGGAGGACCCATTGGACAGCACTGGAAAAATTCCCAATTTTCCAAGTTTGATCAAACTTGGATATCGATTGGATTTCTCAATATCCAAGTTACCCAAATACCCAAGTTTGGTTTAAAGTTGGATAAATCATGGATTTTTCAAGCAAGAATAAATAAACTAGTAAATCCCAAATTAGTATTTAAGAAAATCGTAATTAAATTTGTTTATCATAAAACACGAAGTAGTTTTTCGACTTAAACAAGTTTGGAATTCACAGAAGTAATTTTGTTAACCAAACCTGTGTTCTGAAAATCCAGGTCAGCTTGCAATGTGAACTTGGATTACTTTTCACCCAAATTTGGATTGTTTTCATGAAAACTTTGTCAGCTGGTTTTTAACTAAAACAAGTTTGGAATTCACAGAAGTAATTTTGTTAACCAAACCTGTGTTCTGAACGTCCAGGTTAGCTTGCAATGTGAACTTGGATTACTTTTCATCCAAATTTGGATTTTTTTCATGCAAACATTGCAGGCTTGGAACAACCAGCACTGGTTGTTATAAGCGATGAATAACGCTATCCACTGGAGTATTGAGTGTTTCGTGTAAACAAAACCAACTACACTATCCACTAGATAGTGATTCATGCAGTGGATAACATCATACACCCTTTGATCAAGTGGGTCAGGTTTGAAGCCAACGTAAACTTGTTTTTACAATATGGTGTGCTTCATTTGCAATTTAAAGTTCGATATCTCTGCATAGTAAAATCTGCTATTCGTCATTGTTAAAATACCTTTAGCTTGTTTGTCTTAAAAGCCGACTTGACAATAAAAGATTACTGACTGAAAAAGATGGCTTGGGAATTGTCAAAAATGAACTATAATAATCCAAATTCATTGCATGCAACTCAGCTTTTGTAAACTCCACAACCAATTCAAGCTTGTCAGGAAAGATATTGTTCATGGTGGATAATGCATATAAAGAGTTGTGTTTATCGTTTGTCTCACGAATGTCGCTTAAATATTGATTGCAACATTTCAACCGCACACTGCAGGTCTTCATCAGGCGATAGTGTCGATTTACTGGGTGAAACTATTTTTACCACCATGGTTGTTCATGATTGATGTATCACGAACCTCGCTCATGGTTGGTGGGTTTTGATCCAAAGCATTGTTGGCATTATTAGAGGAGGAAACTGTTTCCCTTAATTTTAGCTTGGTACTAACAGTAAACAACCAAAAAGGTTGAAGTTATAAGTCAGCTTTCTTTCCAGACACTATGTTGCCATTCTCCAGTAGCAATATCAAGTATGCTATTAAAGTTGATGCTATCCATTTGACTTGAGCGGCTTTCTCTTACCCACAGCTTGTTTTCATTCCAGTTGTGATGTTTCACAAAGAAATATCCTTTCACTAATTTTCAGCAAATAACACACGCTTTACTTGGGCTTGCCAAATTTCATCATCATCTCCTTTAACCAAGATCATGTCATTTTCCTCAGGATAAACAGGAACAATGACAGGTGGTAAGGGAATAGTTTCCCTGAATGGATCAACAACTGCAAAATTTCCATTCACATCTGGAAAAAGCATGATTTCTCTTTGTAAATCTTTAATCCCAAGAATGGTGCCACTCTCAAAGGGTTTTACATAAACTGTGTCACTTAATGGATGATGCACAACACCACCTGCAGGATTCCACACAAGCTGATAAGTGTCTCCAAGAACAACTGGTTGAGTAGTTCCATTCACATTTACAAGGAAAAAACTGTTAATGCGAAAGAAAATCTCACTGTTTTGTTGTTTAGCAATCACAACATCACCATTTCTGTACAGTTTCCCACCCACAGCAATTCTATGCATAGGCAGATATGCACTGCGATAACACTCAGCTGTGTCAGCAATGACACAGGATTCCAAATCTGAGAAGTAACCCATAATGGAAGCACTTTCGTCCCTAAGAAGGAAATGTGATTGCCCAGATCCAATAAGGACACCTTGATTAATTCTTGTGGCATCAGGGCTGTTCTGACATAATTGAACCAAGTATTTTGCTCCTTCGAGGGAAGTTGCTACAACCTGATACACAAACAAAATTAGACCAAATCAGTTTCTTTACGTAGTCTTGTTTCAGATCATATGATAGTCTGGAGAATAGTACTTGTATAGCAATAATCTTCCCACATTACGAGCTCGCATGTAATGGCTGACGAGTAGCTAAGCCTATGAGATTGTTGCATTAATATTTGTACACTAGTAGAATTCCACTATTATTAATAGTGGTAGATGTTTACCTTGCCACTTTGCATTACAGTAAATTTCTACCACTATTCACTTTCACTTCATCAGTGAATACTATTGCTAATGAGCTTGAAACACTACCCTTACTTTTTCCCTGTTGACTTTGGGTGACCTTGAATGCCTCTCCGTACTTAGATCTCCAGATGGGCAAAACTTAAGGAATTCTCTTTGAGACTCTTTTCTTGCAAATGTTTTCTCCAAATGCTTTCTGTTACTAGATTGCCGAACGTAACGTGAAACAGCTCTCTCAAACTGTGTGCACCAGTAGTTGTCAGGGGCAGAGAACCTTGAGATGTCCTCATGAAAGTGAATAAGATTGTGTAAATTTATCACACAGGCTTGGGTACCAAAATGCTCTTCCATAAGAATACAATATCTCCATGAGAGACGCTGGAATTTCTGTATCATGTCATCTGTCCAGCCATCTCGACCAACATTGAAAACAAATTCAACCATTCTGGGAACTGGAGCCCATCCTTTGTATTCCTCCCCATCAAGCAGGCCATTGAACACAAACTCAGAGGCAGGGTATGCTAGTTTTTGGAATTCTTCTGCCTTCCAATATCCCATAGATTCAAAATTGATCGGAAGTCTTGAGGATCTATAATCTGTTGACCATGGCATCTGTTTCAGTTTGTGAGAAAATTCTCTCTCATTGATAGCTTCACTGGCAAGCAATTTTATTAGGTGATTCTTCACTACATTAAGGGGTAACAAATGCATTGCATCAAAAACAATATCAGTCAGGATGTTGAACTGATACAAAGGATTCAGACGATGCAGTAAACTCAGGCCATTGAATCCAGCCTCTCTACTTCTGTTCTGGAAATATGTTTGCCTTTCCTCTTGTTCAATTTCACTCATAATGGGTACTTCTTCTTCCAGTGACCTTTTTTGCCAAGGGTACCGAAAATGTTCTCGGAATCCAGGGTAGTAATAATGGCGCTCCTCATTCAACCAGACCCCTATGGAATAATATAAAGTATATATGCTATTACAATAAGGTGCAAAAAATAGTCTGCACAATAGTCATAATACTATTATTACAACAGTGCAATTTCTCGAGACTGGAGATCCTTACATCAGAGGTACCTTTATCAAAACAATGAATAATTGGAGGGATTATTTTGCTTAGAGGTAACAAGTCAGGATCTGTAATTATTGTTTGTCTTTTCCTGAAAAATGTCATTCTGAACCTCTTTTGTGTCTGCTTGGAAGATGTTCTATGTTCAAGTGTGAAGTACAAAGCAGCAATGTATCGTTTCCCTTGTTTGCACATTTTGAAGAATTTTGAAAAATAAGTCATATTCAAAAACCTTTCTTGGATACATAAATGTAATTACTGTGAAACTCAAAAACCATGAACACCAGGAATATTTATGCAATGTTATTCTGTTGCAAGGAAATAACCAATCAGGTGTGAAAAAAAAATTAAACTGCAAAAAGCAACAGCCATTAGTTTGTGGTTTTGAGGTTTGCTCATGTCTCCTGAACTTGACTGGGATTGGTCATTACAAAATCAACATTCCTGGTTTTCAGAGTTTCACAGTAATAATAATAAAATTTACTGTTGAGCAAAACCATACCTAACATTTTGCATCTTCTGCAACCCTTTTTTCCTCCTGCACCTTTACTTTTACAAATTTCACACTGGGCAGGGTGATCTCCAGTCCAAAGTAGTAATAAGAGCCTGATGACCATTTCACCAGAAGGAAAACAATGCAATGCCCCTTTGTAGTCTACTAAATATCCTGCAATGTACATGTACATTTGAATATAAGAGGCAAGGTACCAGAAGATCACATATGTATTGAAGGTGCCAAATTGATAAGTTCCTAATAAGTAATAAGACTAAGTAGAGTTTTAAATAATGATAATTATGATTATGAATTTTTTGTAGGAAGCCAGGGAAGATTAAAGAGAAATTAGGTGTGATTTACTCAAGAGAAGGAGAAGGATCCCAACTAAAAATTTTCAGATAAGGATTACTTAGGATCCTATAGGACCTTACAGGATCTTACAAAATCCCATCTAGGACACCGAGTAGAATTTCTACCAAAGATATTCTGTCGACATGAACAAAACGCTGCACAGTTCATTTTAGTGTGGGTATGATACCCACCTTCAATAAAACCCTCCTCTAAGTCTTGCACTAATGGCTCTAAAAAGGGATCAAGGCTGTTTGGCCTTCCATCTGGAAGATCATATGATGGAACAAATCCAACAGTATAAACTTCCTCAGTGCTGAGTCTGTGCTCTTTGTTCATTGTTGCAATAGATACTTCAATGGCCCCTGTACTCCTCTTTTTGTTTCCAAAGGGCTGAAAGCCATCCCAGTGTCCTGTGACATACAACATTAACATAACTGTAATTTACTACTTGCTAAGAAAATTTCATTAAAATTTTTGTAGAACATTAAAATACAACAAAAAAAATGCAACAAAAAATATTTTCCAATTTATGGTGATGGTGTACTTATGCAGGTGTTTTAAGAGTTTAAGTCACTTTTTTGCAGTTATAAGCCCCAGGGAGCTCAGGGGCCTATAATCAGAGAGGCTTAAATATAAAGGGGCTTATTTTTGGAATTTTAAGGTATAAGAACAAAATATGTTAGTTAACAGATTTAAACACATACATGCATGTTGTGATATATAAAACTAAATATTTTTTGGTTCAATCAATTTGAAACAAAATATTCAACATGCATGGACAAAGTACATGTTAGTTTTCCAATACCCAAACTAGGCACTTCCTCAGTGATATAAATTTCTTACCCATCAAAGCAAGATTCCTGGGATCCCCTCTTGCATACTTTGGCTCATGTAAAAATTTTTTGTGACATTTCTGGCAAGAAACTTCTTTCAATCCCTCAGCAGTTGCAGGCAGACGTTCAATGGTTTCTCCAGTAATAACATTCTTGCAGTTCTCAGTTTTACACTTTGCTGGCAGACACCAGACAGCATTTGGATCCCAAAACCATGAAAGCTTGCAGAAACGGTCACCATCCCAGACCTCTTTTTTTATGTGCCATCCTCTTTCTCTCCCTAGCCAGTGTTCCTTTTCCTGCCAGTGACCAGTCATTTTGAGGCACATTTCTGGACTTGATACCCATTGTTTCACTTTTCCTTTAAGTCCTAGATAATAATATTTTAGTTGTGCAGGTTTACCACAGTGGCAACAAGTGTCAGTTGGCCTTTCCAAGATATCCCAGTGACGTTTGTGGGAGTCATCTAAGCAGATGAAATATTCCCTTGCGTCCTGATATCCCAACTTCAAAAGATACTGCCTTGCCGTTTCCCAGTCATGTGGCCAAATTGACTTGATAACTTGATCTTCATCCTCTAGTCCTCTACCTCTACAAAACATATGCCGAGCAAACACAAGCAAATCTTGAAATGTGTTTAGTGATGCCCCTGTATCCTGTATGATATCAAGTGACTCAAAGATGCATTTAACAATTGCTTCACCCATATCATCAACCTCATTTTCCACTTCTGCTTGTTCCGGTGCTGAGCCAAATTGTTCCGCTCCATCGGAATCAGTTTCCTGAGGTATTTCATCTTCAAATGGACCGTGTTCTTCTGAAATAGGACTGTCAGCACGAAGGTCACCAGCTTCAGGGAAACAAGCCAAAAAAGAAATAAATTTTAAGTCATACATGCAAAAGAACTTGAGCTATGTACAATGACTTCAAGTGCTTGAATCTTTAACTTTACAACAACTGGAAAAAATCTTAAATTTTGAAGTAAGCTTACATTTCGTAATCATGATCAGCCGGGGGCGCCGGGTTTTGTCTTTTCTTAGGCTTGCCGAACTTCCCGACTTTCTTACAAAAAGTTCTAATATTAAAGAAAAGAAAAAGAGTATACCATCAATGCGATCATGACCGTCTTCTACAGTTTCTTCGTGATCGAGCCTTTCTTCAATTTCCCTTTCCACCAGTACCACTGTTTCCTCTTCGGATCTTGTTGGTGTAACTACATCACAGAATGCACTCGAGTTGAGATGAGATATTTGCGTACGATAATTTACTGCTTTGCCATTGCAAATTATACAGAAACAATGAACGTGAGCCGCTTGATGAGCCGAACAGTAGCAAGTGGACGATGGAACTCTTACGCTTCGAGCCGCCATGTTTTGGTATTAACTCGTTTCCAGTCACAAGTCAAATCATTATTTGGCGTTCGTCACTGGGCCCTAACATAGATTGGCCAATGAAAAGCCAATATTTTTATGAGGTGACTATGGCGCGAAAAAACAGCCAATGAGAAGTGTTGACTTCAATTTAATCCAGTGCTGCAAGATTGGCGAAGTCAGTTTCAAGATGGCGAGTTGCAGGGGAGCTACGTTTCGTAAGAATCTGCCGGCATTAACTTGTTCACCAGAAACTGTCTCTGAAAATCTGGAAAATGAAATACCTATGGATGTAACTGAGGAAATTTCAGGCGATACAGACTCTGTCAGCTCGGATGAACCCGTGTTGTCTCAATCGACGGCAAAGTTAAGCTTACCTGTGAAACTGACGCGGGAAAACGCCCGCCAAAATATTGCCGCTGTTGAATCCGGCCCGAGCAAGACTGTATCAGGTTGGTAACGTACAGTATGGTTCTCTTCAATAGATAGCTAAGCTATTCATCAACCTAAATGTATCATTTTCCTCCTTTATCAGAATGGTCAGTACTGGAAGTCAAGGATTGGGCGTTGAGGACTTTCGGGAGCGAAAATGTCGCCGAAAAGTTTGAACAGGAGGAGATTGATGGACGTATACTTTTGTCGACTGCTGTTCGGAGTAGTGAAGCTATGGAGAAGTTAGGACTCGACACCATTGGCAAGAAAGGGAAATTTACGGAGAAAATAAGTGAACTCGGCGCAGGACCCAGTGCAGGTATATATTTTTATTTACTCCTGTTTAAGCCTCTAAATGGAGTAGAGCTTTAGATCTGAGGACGAGGACGATTACGTGTGCGAGAGTTTACAGTCGTAAATTTTTTTGGCGTATTGTCAAAAACAAAATAGTGCGGTTATTTTTTGGAGAAGGTTTAGCTCTTTCCCTGTTGCAAAGTGGTTAAACATCGAAAATTTGATAACTTGTTCCCGCCACTACGACAGGTCGCCTTCGATTATGAGCTGCTTTGCATCGTTGTTTCACTTTTAGGCTGTATTTGCGCGACATACCTTAATTCTGTGCAGCGTCGTTTTTTAGCACAATATTTTTCCTTCCCTATCTGTCAAAAAGATTCCATTGTGCTGTAATACGTAGTTAATTGGCCATGTTACAGTGTAGTTAGCCGTAGAGAACCACAGAAAGAATTCTGCTTGCCTTGATTTGTTCTAGTTTAATCAAATGCTATTTTTGATAGATTATTTTGCGTTTGGACCAAAAAAATTTTCATGAATCCGTAACCGAAGTTTGTTTTGATAGTGTAAAACAGTAGGACTTATATGTAGGTAGGTGCATTGGAAATTATGTAATGACCAGATTTTGGTATGCATACATGGTAGCTTATGTTATCATATTAACCATTCGCTCTATTTACTGAACCCAATTTAAGGAAGAAGTTGTGAGAGGGAGAAGCCCATGTCAAGAACTGATTTTTCTTTGGTAGACAGAATACTGACCAACACAGAAAAAAATCAAATGAATACAGCGGATCGGGCCATTTATAACACAAAGTAAGTCTCCAGATATTTGTTTTTGATTGTTGTAAAAACTGTGATTTAGCATCTTTTGAGCTGTCATTAGCCACATACAAGTTAGTGAGTGTAATTCTTAAACACTTACTTTATGAGTCAAAGGATGCCTTGTGCCAATCACAAAAGCCAGGGTTGGGCTTGGAATTGATGGAGCCATTATCTTCACAGCCCTACATCTGATATATCATCAAAACTATTTATTGTAAATTTGAAGCACCATTTATATACTCTCCAACATTGTGATCTACAGTTTAGTCATTTTATCCCTTGCTGCCCCTCTTTATTACAGGAAGAAACGAATCACCAATTACATAAAACAGGTGTGGCCACCAGGGTCCCCGGCACCACGGTTTCGAAATAACCTAGAAGCTACCAAAAGAATGCTTACTGTTGTTGACACGATGGCCAAGGACGAGGAGTTTACTTTAGGAAGACTTGGGTTGGGAAGAAATGCAATAATGCAAATTATCAGAAAGCATATGGATGAGCGGCGGCGTAAGGAATCTGAGCAGCTGGAAGCGACTGGCAAACTGTTTCCTGTGAGTGGCAGTGAAAGTGATACCACAAGTAATGTGAGTGGAGACAGCCCAGAAAGTGATGAGGGAAAGTCAACTAAATTAGAGGACTACTACAACACAGGTGAGCCATATATGTATATTTCAGATACCTTTCTGGTATATTTTGTGTTGTGATAATTAGTTTATCATTTCAATAAGTTATCAGTTTTTTCAGAGCCACCATAAGTTTGTGACCTTAAAAATTATATAGCTCTGTAATCTATGTACAGATTCTGTAAAGAAAATTGGTAAATTCTCTTTGGTGACTATTAAACAAAAAAAAATCAAACTAAAGAAAAGTCACTGTAGCTTTTGAGTTATTAGTGTCAAAAGGTAAAAGTAGGGTAATTTTGAGCACCTTTTGGAATTTCATTTTATTCATTGGCAGTTGATGTGTCTATATACTAAGTGTCTTTTCTGTGTTTCAGAGCTCACTTTATCATCAGCAGAAACCATTATTTTGGTATGGCTGGAAAGAACAACCATCAATGATGTACACCTTATCAAGGACCTGAAACCAGTTGCCAAAAATCTTAAACTGAAACTGCTGAGGAACAAAGACAAAACTGCTCACATCCGTGCTATTGCAAGTACCCTTTTAAAACAGGGGAAGGTTAAGGTGAATGCTCCCTTAGGAAATATCACAAGAGATGATGTGGTTCTGAATAAAAAGTGACTGTTGCATTGCAAGTCAGTGTCTATGGCAACTAGTACTGTGTCAGGTGACTTTATCACCTTGGTCTCGATAGACAAGGTCAACCATGATCAGAAATGTTGAGCTAATCAAGGAACTTAATCCGATGGCCAGGATTTGTAAACCGAATCTGCTCAGGAAAGGAAGGACAAAATATATGTGTTGTTTAAAGCATCATGGCTGTGAAGACTGTTCTGTTGAAAGCTGCTAGATTGTGGCTACATAAAAATTAATGTTTGAGTTTATTATGAATATTTCGGTGAATAATATGTTGTTGTTTATGTGACTTGGCTATTACACAAGCCAGTGGCAACTGTGTAAGATGACTTTATCACCTTGGTCTGAATAGACAAGCTGGTCAACCACCAGAAATGCTCATCTCATCAAGGAACTTCGTCCTATTACTAGAAATCATAAACTGAAACTGCTAAGGATAGGAAGGACAAAATGTGCGTT